TTTCCCCAATCTTTCTCTTCTGTGGGGCATGTGGCAGGGCGAGAAAAGGTACGTATTCTGTCCAAGTTAGGCAAGGTCTAGGAACTCCAGCCACCCGATGGCAGCGGCCGGCACAAGCTCCGGTAGACCCATAAAAGTTGGGCACACTTCCGGGACGCCGGGGCCAGCAACGTTGGTTTGACATGGACCTTACCCCTTCAGGTACGCGCGAATGGCTTTGACCGCAAGACAAAGTGAGTCGATTGTTGGCGACTCATAAGCTCTCTACGTAGTCACTTCTAACACTACGGTCTCGTAGTCTCTTGCAAGACGCTCGTGTCTCAAAGGGGGATCCAGTTGTCGACACATACTCCAGGAAGTAGAGACATTATTGTTCTTCTTGACAGCATAGCTTATCGGGGACCCTATGAAGCAACTGATAATAGGGTTTTAGTTGCGGTTGGTCCAGTGCCCATAGCCAAAAGCGTGGCCGGAGTATCATCGCCTCTGCCCATCGTAAATACAGCGAGCCTACTCTATAAAGCCAGTGCTCTTCCTCAAAATATTCCCCCTCATTTCATATTTGGTTAAGAATACAGAGCAGGAGAGGACTATCGAAAGAATAAAGATAGAAAGGCGACAATGCTAACTGACCGAAGGGCTAAGGCGCTGATCGAGAATGCTATCGTAAACTGCACGAGCTGCCAAGATGTGCTCTCACGGATAACTTCCTTGGTATCTATATGCTTCTTCGCTTGTAGAGCAGGAAGAATCACGTCGTACGGAGGTCACGCTTCTGCAAAAAGATTTGTCGTTAGAGTCCGATTGAATAGGGCACCTGCTATGAGCAGCTGTGTACTCCTCGAGCAATGATCCGCTTTGCGAAGGGCGACAAGTGAGTTCACAAACACTGGAGGTATAGATCCACCAGCAGCTAATCCAGACACAAAGTACACCACCTGAAATCACGTTCTAGCTTTAAGATCAGGACGACGCATCTTATCTGATAAGATGGGTCCACATGCTTGCGTTACGAGTCGGTCGAGTCAAGGGGAGTTCTATCAGGGACCTAACCAAGATCCCCTATCATTGCCAGTCTCATGCAAGCGTAATCCAGTGAGTCCATCTCCATTTGCCATTGCTAATTATGCTCTTGACGTCGCTGAATACTATTGATCATGAGTGTCTGGCTGCCAGGACGTAGATCAATGCATCACTGAAGAAGGGCCTGGTCGACGACACTAGGCCTCTCCGGTACAGAGGAGCTTTAATAAGGAAGTCGATCGCAGGTCTAGGCCTCGCACTCCTCGGAACTGACAGCGAGACCAGCGACGAGGGAGCACTATTGGCAAGCTTCAAATCGAAGCCGAAGCCGTTGGGTGACGCAGAGCGGTCCGCCGCCAACTAGAAGATCATCGCCGCTCTGCTAGTTGATGACTCGATGGCTTGGAGGTGACCCAATAGAGCCCGAACGGTGAACAAGAATGGCTCAGAGGGAGACACCACCCTAGTCAAGATGAACTCCGTGACGGCAACGCTCTGTATCTCAATGTCTCATATATGGGCGAGCCTGCGAAAGGAATGGTCTTTTGAGTTGATGCGGACGTCTAGGTGAACATGGAACTTAGGTAAGATAACGTCTAAGTCTTCCATCCCCCATCCGAGGAAGGGCATCGAGCGTATCAATGAAGTTGCCGGCTCTCAATGACCGGTCCATACGAGTCTGCATCGTTATACTTCAGCACTGGCAAGTTCGTCCCCTGGTTCTTAACCAGGCCGAACGACACCGTCCGGATCAGTCGGTATGGGTTTGCCATTGAGGGAGGGGAACAACAGCATGTATGTTCTACGTGCTGCTAAAGCCGTTTCACGTCTACCTGTGGAAAGGAGTCTGACGGCAGCGCAGCATCTAGATTCAAGCCAAGCCGACAAGCGTCACTGCTGAGCTTGGTGATTTCGAGATGGCCTCAAGTGTCACGAAACAGGAATGGTATCAGCACTTGTCAAGCATCTTGCCACGTGCTTTCTCACGTGGATATCACATTCACTTAGTATATAGACTGCTCTCACGTGCTCATTCCAGATAGGTTACTTCAAGCCACTTTAACCCACTTCATATGCCCATTGCTGCGTGCCATAACTCGTGACATCTAGTTAGATGAGGTAGAAAGGCGGCGCATAGTCTGACAATATGGACGAGTCTTCTATAGCCTTGTGCTAAAGGTGTTAGCTGAATAAGGCGCGAACACTGATGATACCATACATCTGGGGCGAATGTCTTGATGCATGTCGCTGGTACTTGTCATTATCACCACGATCGAGGCTGCCCACACTGCCTATTACTGCTGCGGACAGTCTAGACGAAGTCGAAGGTCTAAGACTTCGTGGGCTCTTTCCAAGTATCTTGATTTAAACAGACTCTTAGACATATACTATCCTCTTTTCTACTCTCCTCTTGTTAGATAGGTGTGTAACGTAGGTTGGAAGCTCTTCAAGGCCAATAACTATTAGGGTCAAAAGATTGGGTGACTGAAATCTGCCCCCTAGCTACATGTGTGCTCCTGGTATGATATATATACGAGCTGCTCCTTGGTTACTTATGTCCCCCTTCTTAGCCCCTACTAACTAACCCGTATCCAGAAGGGTCTTAACATCTCTTTTCCACCATCCTCTTTTTATTGTTCTTATTTCTACTATCCTTATTTCTGCTATCAACTTTCTACTGTCCTCTTTTTAATCCTTCTCGTCTTTCCTTCCCTTATCCCCTCTACCCATTATCTCTTACTCCTTATTCCTATGCGTATATAGATACCTTATAAGTAATAGCCATGAGTAAGAGGTCCAGCATTCAAGATTTGTGCTTAGTTCACTCGCGGTGGGTGTTGAGGCGATGTCACTTTTGACAGTGAGGTCCCCCTATGTGTACTTCTGCGGTTCACCACATAACCATTCGAAGCCAGCCCACTCGGGCGCGGTGTGCCCATTGAACGTAGTACAGTCGAGTGCTGCAGAAACGAGACGAGAGGAAAGATTCATCATAGAACCATCAAGTCGAACACACTGGGACACGGTCGTTGTTTGTGACTGGCTGTGGAAGTTTCGCAACCACCCGGTTCCGGTTCTGCGACCCTGCTGAATTCCAAGCTTATAGAGCTAACTGTTGTGCAAGTAATGTTGGGCAAGGATGACGTAAGTTCTAAAATGGGTTCCAGCTGGAAAATGTCAGGGCTGCGGATTGGTTGTAGACAAGTAGTTTGATACGAACACCCACCGACGCCATCCCCATGACCTTGCGCCGGTGAGTTCGGTGAAGTAAGCACGTAGACAGCTCAGTTGTACAATGATTTGTGCCGTTCACAAACTAGGTATTGCATAAATGCATAGGACACAGTGGCATAAAATCTTGAACAGTCGAAATCTGTTTGTCATATTTTCCCACCATCAGTCCCCATAGACCGCAATAGACCAGCTGGTCAACAAGGTAAACCAGAAGACAGTGGACCCAGAAGTCGCAATGAGCCAATGGTTGTCGTCGCCACGTCTCACCGTCTGTTCGTGGTGGATGTTTTCGCGTAACTCACCGCAAAGTTGACCCAGATAAACAGGTGACTGTCTCTAGTCCAACAAGCTCATTGGACACTTCGGTAGCTCATTTCCTCATGTACCCACACGGTCTAAGGTTTCTCCCCGTCCGAAATGACTCGTGTCCTCACACATTCTGCCGCCCGCCCAGTCCGCGCCTCGCAACACCGCCCAACAGATTTCTATATAAGCGCAGTCTGTCGGCCGTCCTTTACCTGGTTTCTCTCTTTCTTCTTTAGCTCTCTTTGCCTTTTGGCTTAGATCAAGTGTAGTATCTGTTCTTTTCAGTTTAATCTCTGAAAGGTCTCTAAGGAGACCAATCGTGATTATTCCTATTTTTGTACCTGGAGAGAAGTCCTCTGTGCTTGCACATGGCTCCTCTCACAGTGTCCCTGGTATAACACTGCCTCCAGGCGACGCGAACCTCTTTTTTCATTGTGTGCTCTGGCTTGTCCAGTGTCATAGAGAAGAAGCATATATGCCTTGACGTACTTGACAGTCTTGTGAAGAAACCGTCGACACCGGCAACTGACACCATGAGATTGGTGTTATTGGAAAGCCCAGGTAGAGTACAACTTGCTGGCAGCAACTAGTATCATGCGGCTCGAATTTCGAAATTGTGAGGAATTTCCATGATGTGCACCGGTATTCCGAAGGAGGCGGCTCGGTGATATCGGCGCTCGGCGCCAACGCGGCACCCCACACTCGAGCTCAGTCGCACATGCCACAGACCCACTTCCCATGCACGGCCCGCCAGCGCCACACCCGAATATATCAAATTTGCACGTGACATTCGACTTCAACTCGACCACCATTGACGTCACCGTCCATGAGAAGGACTGTCGCACTCCAGCAACGATACAATACCAACAGGTGACCAGTCCACGAGATTTAATTGGGTCGAAACACTTGACGCTTGCGTATTGCATCGTAGGGTGTATGAAGCAGCATCAAAAGGTGCTTGTCTTAGCGTACAAAGATCTGCTCGCTCTGCCACACGTGTGAGCTTGGCCCCTCAAAGGGCGCCAACGCCGCCTTGCCTTATTATGAAGATACCCTTTGACACAGCATGACTTGGATCTTGTCACAATCGGGTTTTCCGGTTGAACTGCGGTCTTCTATTACCTCAAATCGGAAAGCCACATAATTGCAACTGTCAAAAACGATGCCAGACAAACTTTGGCAATGTGAACATTGAATTTGGAGACCCACAAGGTCAACATCCATTGACTTTCTCAACCTACGTCTGACCTCGCGGCAATCCTCGAATCCTCCTAGTACCCCGGTCACCTCACAATCAACAATCTACCAGTCCCAGTTCATCAATATTTAATCCCGGACAAGCAAGCAAATTATTTTTAAGCGCCAAACCCAGCTCAGTCACTTTCATGCACCCTGAAGGCATTTCATCTTCCTTGTAATGAACATCACAAACTTGCTCACGCAACTACAAACGTCTTCTCATCCCATCCATATGCCCTTGCGAGACGCCGAGAGTAAATCAGTGTTGTGTACCCTTCAATCAGAGACTTATGAGGTCGGTGGATGGTAAAAGGCCTCTTCACCGTCATAGTATCGGGCGGCATGAAAGTGAAGACCGAACCATACTTGGGCAGAACTGAAAACCTTAGCTCCGCCATAGCGCCTTCGAAATCCGTCCAGTGCACCGCACCTCGGGTCTCGGACTTCTTGAAGAGGGCGTCGAAAACCTCGGCAGTCGCGGGCGTGACTTTAAAAGTCTGTTTCTCGACGGCTGGCTCTGAAGTCGAGGCCTTCGCCTGAGGACCGGCCTCGTAGGCAGACACGTGAGCCGGACGAGTCTTCTCCTTCTGTTTGCGCTGCTCCACCAGAGTCTCTCGCGGCTCGGAGGCAGGTACCGGTAGGGGCGTCCACTCCTTCTGGCCTTGGCCGATCTTGGCCTTGTACTGTTCATACTCGTTCTCAAGGTCGGAGAAACACTCATCAACGAGATCCTCGTAGAGCACACCGGGCTTGGCGCCGGCGTTGTCAACGATAAATTGGTCGAGAGTCTTAAGAGCTTCGACGGTCATACCAGGCTCCAGAAGGTTGTCAATTGGGACGGCAAAGTCCCTCAAATCAAGGCCGGTCTTGAGCTTGTTCAGCTCGACTTCCAGCTCTTGGGACCTGGAGACGAACAACTGCCCCCTTTTGCGGGACGGAGCCGGCACCGATATTGTGCTGGTCACATCTTGGATGAAGGCGACTGTGGTGGCCAGGTCACAAAGAGATTCGATCTCGCTCTCGACCAGTTTCTCTCGCTCTTCGGGGTGAGCCTGATGAAGATCGCCCAATTTCTTCAGCCATTCGACAGCCTTGGACGAAGTGGTATCAGGGTGACAAAGGCGGAGGATATAGTGAAGCTGAGGATCGCTCCGTGTCAGGTCGCCTGGGTTTCCTTTGAGCGCAACGCGTGCGTTGCCGGCGCCGTCATACGCGTTGGACATCCGCTTGTACCACTTGCTGCCCGAATGCGACTGGATGTGCCGCCTGAAGAGGGCCTGGGTGGAGGCATATGCGAGCTGGAGGGCGTTGGCTATCTCCTGCAGCAAAATCGTCTTGTGGTCCTTGTCTCTGTTCAAGCTTTCGAAACGTTCGAGAAGTTGACGGATGTAACTCCACAGGGCGGCCTCCTTGACGGCGTAATGGACGGTATCGAAGACACTGGCACTGATGAACTTGTCGGAAATCACCGGCAGCCGACGTCCCTTCTCATCCGGAAGTACCTCCGGCCGGCTGAAGAACCAGAAATTGACATTGTGGGCAATAACGACCGGCTCTGAATACATCTCTAGGCGTTCCTTCTGCGATGCCGCCTGATCTCGAGCAGCGTTGACGATGTCGGCGAGAGAAAGCTTGGCGGCCGATTCTTTGACGCTCAATTTCGAGAACGCCGCAGTGGCCGTCTCTGCAGACTTCTTCGGGGGTTGGGTCGTGCTTCGCGCCTTCGAGCCCTGCTCTAAGATATCGTCCATGAGGATATTAAGTGTCTGCAACAAGCTGATTTGACGATGCAAGACTAGCTCGCCCTTAGCCTGGGGTATGCATCGTCCCGCCCTGATGGCCGGTTCGAAACCACGCAACGCCTCCTTGTGTTCCTTGACTATATGCCACGATTTGCCGTACATTTCACCGTCGGCAAATAAGGTGTAACAGTCTTTGTAAGGTTCAGCAGAGCGGAGATTGCGGGTTCGCATGCTCTCATCAATAATGCCGTGATCGCCAGCGCCACCGTTAGGCCCGTCGCAATACTGTTCCATGAGCGTTTTCTTGGCGCGATGCTCGAGCATGTTCAGAAGATGTTCGGGTCCTTCAGTCAAGTCGCGCAAGTTCCAGTCGGGAACGATCTGGTAGATGTTGCCCTGGGTGGTATCCCTCGAGTGTTTCAGCAAGACGCCATCCATCACCCCAACCTTGACACACTTCGCGCGCTGGCTCGCATTGAAACCCTTCCAGATTTCCTGGATAGTAGCGCCATGTCTCTTGTACTTTCGAACAAGATCGTCATGAAGGTCCGTCACCACATCGTGAGTCCCTGGCTCTTGCATTTTGACCCAGTATGCTTGCGGAGGTGACCAGAGTCGGCCTGCCAATCGGAAGATTTGGGACACGAAGAGGCTCCTCTATCGACGATTAAATGTTCCCGGTGAGGTTGGCAACGGAGCTTCCTTGAAAGTCTAGAGGTGTTTAGCAACGAACGACCTGCATATGCTCATGGCCGGAAAATACATCTTCCGACGATACGTACTCAGCAGTGCTTTCCATTCTCTGCTGGCCTTGGGATTACATCTGCTGAAGGGAGTAGTGTTGAGGCCCACAATGTAGACACGCATCTCAAGAACTCCATCAGGAATGAGTTCCTGCCACGATGCGCACTAGTTCATTGGTGTAAAAATCTATTGCCGCAGACTCAAGGCTTCTCCCCAACTTTCTACGCGTGATGAGATTAACGGCAATCATTTGGATCCTTATCGCAAAGCTAGTTTGAAGGATGAGCAGGAAACAGGGCTCGATATCATCAAGGGTCGAGGGCATGGGCTATTCAACATCGAATGATGGTAAGTTTTGGGAGGAGACCAATGATCAACTGACATCGAACAAGCCCAACCCACTACAAGTTAGTGCCGTACGAAGCACAGCTAGGTTGTCGATTACCCAACTGTCTGAAAAGGGGCATATTCCTCGGAGCAAGGGGCATGCAATAAGTTCAAGCCCTTCCTTTCAGCCTTAAACCTTGCGGTTGTGATAGGTTTTTATTGAGGAGGAAGAAAAAGGTTCAGAATCCTTCGGGTGGTTTAAGATGACCACATACCCACTCCCCTCCAATGAGGACCGTACACCATCAACCATGGACCAGCCACAGCCCTGTGACGGTCGTGAAATCCCACAGGGCTGTTAGCTTCCGTTCCTCGTCCACCCTTCGGAGCCGGAAGCTGGTCCAGTTAAACCTACCGACGAGGGTTTCTGGTCACCGAGTCGGCGACGTTATGGAGTTCGCTGGGGACAGCCTGGGACCGTAGGACGGCCGGGGGCGCTGCCCCTCCCTCCCCCTCCTTCATCTTCTCCCCCCCGCGCGCGCGGCAACTTGTGAGTTGAACGTGGTCACACAGACACCCAGCGATCTGACACCCACGCGGGGCGGCATAGTTATCCGATCAACGTTTGCCGACCTACCTTAGCCAGTAGTTCTAGACTTTGCCAGACGTCCTGTCCAACGGCGGCGCAGTCAGGAACATGTGCAACACAGCCACGGCCCCCAGAGCTTTCGAGGCTTACAATAGGATAATTTCTTCATCTGCCCAGCGGCGCTTAGAAAGTCGAACTCATCGATGCTTAACCGATGTTAGGTAATGCTTATAATGTTGTGATCTAGCCGTCATCGATTCACGATTCACTGCTGCCTGGCTCAACCCCCCGTACCCAGGGCGGTTTTTGATTGACTTTGGACATCCAAACAACCCCCCCATGTTGCACTCAGCCAAGGGGTCTGAACTCCTGGCACCCATGCGTGCCATGCCGCCAACTCGTGCTAACGGGTGGCGGTGCGCATTTCCCGATGTTTTCAATTCCTCGATCTCTACGGAATCCGTGTTCTCCTCACATTCTGTTTGACTTCATAGCTCGGAGTCGGAGATAGTGCCCCACGTTTTATCCTCCACGAACCCCCCTCCCTCATGTCAAATTTCCCCTTCTGCCAACCTGCCTGACAAGACAGCTTTCAAACCTGTTGACTTGCAGAAGGATTCATCTTACCTTCTTCTTTTTCTCTTTTTTTCTGCCCGTTCGTCATAAGAGATAGACCAGGGTTATTACGGATGATGTAAAAGCGTTTTTAGGCAGCAATAATACATCGTTCCTTCGTTTCCTTTGAGCGCTTCCAAGGTTACAACAAAGAGAAGGGGGGAGGGGGAAGAAATATCCAAATCCCAGCAACATCGAAAACTTGTGTAATAACCGCTGCTGCTGCTGCTGCCCGTCAGACAAAAGGCGCCAGGTCTTCCGGTTCAGGAAATCCGTATAATCTACGGCCGGCGACCTCGCATCTGTACCAAGACATTGTAGCGGGAACACACAGTTTCCGAGACCCGAGTACCCGGAAAGTCCAATAATCCCTTCTTAGGAGGCACTCTTGTGCTCGCAATTCTCAGCCTCTCACTTACAACAAGGCCAACAAAATTCCGGCCCTGATGCCCTCTCCCGGTCCCCAGATTCTCACCTTTGCGCTCGAGAACTGGCCTCACAACGCCGGGCCTACCACCAGGGCTAGCAAGCCCAAGGTCCGGACGGGATGCGTCACATGCAAGTAAGTCAACTCATCCGTCATTGAAATCTCATATCTTCTCACCGTACTAACATCCATCCAGACGGCGCAGGATAAAATGTGACGAGACCAAGCCGTCATGTCAAAACTGCCTCAAGCGGCGGGTGGAATGTGAGGGGTACAAACCCAAATCGCCCAACGCCTCCTCCTCTCCTGGCGCAACCTCAAAACAACTCATCGCAACCACCACCAGCGGAAGCTCCCCCTTCTCCACGGAGCCAAGCTACCAAAGCCTCGTCTTCACTACACAGCTCCAAAAGGACCACTTTGACCAATGGCTCTCCTTCGCCGCAGACACCCTCGTCTTCCCCTCCCAGCTCATCACCGAAACCATCCCGCAAATAGCCCGCTCAGACCTGGCCGTCCGCAACGCCGCCTTCGCCATCGGCGCCGCCGCCCTCGGCAGCGGCACCCGCGAGGAGCGTCTCACGGGTAAGGGGCCGTACTTCGCCGACGCGCTGGAATACTACAACCGCGCGCTACAGCTGACCGTCAAGTCCCCGCCCACGGAGGAGACCTTCCCCAGCGTCCTCATGACGTGTCTCCTCTTTGTAATGTTCGAGGCCCTCCACGGCGACAGGAGGTCCGCACTGACGCACCTCAACCACGGGTACAACATCCTTGACCAGTACGAGCGGCGCCGGGCCAAGCAGATGAAGTCCCAGAAGCAGACGCAGGCATCCCGCCGCGATCCCCTCGTCGACGCCATCGCCACAAACTTTCAGCGCCTGACTCTTCAGTCATGGAGCCACAACGGAGACCACCCAAAGGAGACGGAGAAGCAGGTCCCCTGGTGCTGCCGCGGCCAAACCTCGCGCTACGCCGTCGACGAGATGCCCGACGCCTTCGACTCCCTCGACGAGGCGCACCGCTGGTGGGAAGTAACCCAGCACCACGTCATCCACCACGCGCCCCTCATCATCGGCTTCCGCGTCGAAGGGACGGGCAATAAAGCGCCATCCTTCCCGCCCAACGTCAGCCTGCCCATCAACCCGGAGCAAGTCAAGGCGCACGACCGCTACGTCGAAGCCTGGCGCTCGCGCTTCTCGCCCCTCCTCGAAGCACAAGAAGCCAAAGAGGTGAAGTGCGATAGAGAGTACCTCAAGGCCCTGGGCCTGCGCATCCACTCCACATACCTCTCGATCCCGATCCTCACAGCAAACTACTGCGACACGGACGTACTCGCCTCCATGACCCCGAGCTTCCGCCTCTACGTCGACCTAAGCGCAGACTTCCTCGCCCTCCAACAGCGCCTGCTCAACGCCTCGGGCGAAATGTTCACAATGGACAGTAACAGCCCTACCTGGCCCCTCGGCGCGGCAACGATGCTCTGCATGGACGAGAGCGTGCGGGCCGACGCGCTGCGGCTGTTTAGGGAGTACCCGCGGCGCGACGGGCTGTGGGATACGCAGACGTGGCTGAGTATGCTGGAGAGCTACAAGGAGGCGAACCAGACCATTGTGAGACAGGTTGGCGAGCGGGAGTCGCAGCACATGTTTGATGTCGAGGTCGTTTATGAGGATAAGTCTGTGGTGTGGATTAAGCAGGTGGAGGATCCTACGAGCGTGAGCCCGGATGATTTGAAGTATAGGATTAATCTCCCTTGAGGGAGGGGGGTAATGAATGAGTCAAATGAATGCTGATGTGTCGTGCGTGGGGCTGCAATGCTGTGTCAAGTACCCATCACTGACGTTGGCGTGCGGCACAGCAAGTACAGCATACGCGACTTTATGAGGATGAGTTCACATTGTCTTGAACCACACCACTCCACCACATTGAAACAGGCGAAAATAGACATCGAAGCTGTGAACCTCTGGGAGGCTGGATTCTCTGCGTGGGATTTCGACAGGAATCATCATGATCAGGTGACTGGCAGTGAGGCCTTCTACCAATTACGCCAGGTAGTAAAGTAGTACAAATGCCAGATAAGCCAACCTCCTACGTAATATTTTGCAGCATTTCGTGATCGTGAGCCTGCCGGGCTATCAGGAAAGGTGTGGTAGTAAGGGAGCATATCTCAGCAAGCTCATATATTTGTTGGTATCATACTATAACGAAGGGGAAAGGAATCTACTCTACCCTCCAACCAAATCCCCTTTAATTCCACTTTTTACCGCGGTGCTTATTCCGTTTGGAATACTCACGAGACGATGACGATAGTTGTTCGAGGAGAAGTGAGCCGGGGCAAAATAGCGCAACTCCCTTTTGGCATTGATTGAATCGATCATCTTTGGCACATCACAGGAGCCTTCAAACAGCTGAGTGTGACAAAGAATGCCTTCCTCAGTTGATTGGAAACGGTGATCCATTCAATTACGATGTTGGTGCTGCCAGGATAGACACTTCCATCTCCATTGATAAGATATTTATATAAGATGCACAGGTGCCTACGTGACACATGCGTCGTCGGGCATTCAGCGCTCGTTTCGGGCTCGGTCAGCCAGGGCAGCTTGTGAGCCAGCCTCGCCAGGGTGGCACACTTCACGGCCACAAACCCCATCGATTCCATTGAAAACTCACCTAGTTTGCATCATAGGCTTAGGACGTGACTTGGTCGAAAGACTTTGTATTCATAAACCTCCTCCTCGCCTCTATCTACCGAGGCAGATATCATTATCGATCTATGAAAAGGGGGGTTGCCATCATCCTATCGAGGCCGCTAATCTCCAAATATCAAAGACGCTCCTTTTTAGGGGGTGTCATGTCCATGAAACAACTAACGCAAACTACATAAAACTGCTTTTTTGATGCTGAAAGACCCTTGAGGAAGTCAACCAACCAAGTCTCCCCTAAATGGACGTAATCGTAAATGCCGCTGTGTTCTCCTTTTTTTTATGCAGATTTAAATCAACAAGCACCCGTAATAGTTTGGTGGAAATGCAGGTATCAACCGTGCGTGAAGGCAACATGTTGCTCAACAAACACATACGCACACAGTAATAAGTGGGGGTATAAATACAGGTGTCTCGTCCCGTGTAACGGGGTCGTGTAACGGGCATGAAAGACCTCATGGCAAGTAGTAAGTTGCTTAGAAGAACTTGCCCTTCTTCTTCTTGGTCGTCTTTTTCTCCTCGCCTCCGCCTCCGAGGATATCGTCAAAGGTCATGGTTGACGTGGCGGGATCATGGGTGTGGTCAACAGACATGTTGCGCAAATTCGTGGCAGAGGGTGAGCGCGGCATGACCATGCTCAGAGGACGAGAACCGGCCGAGCTGCTTCGTGCGCTGCCGACGCGCGAGTTGCGGTCGCCAGGCAGGCCCTCGTCGAACGGAACGGGCTCGAGACCGAAGATCATGCTGGAGCGGTGCGCGGCGTTGCGACTGCCAAGCTGACGTCCGCCTGGCGAAGCATTACGCGGCCGGAGATGGGACTGTGGAGACCCAGGCGTGGGCGGGGTGCCACTTGTGCCGAGAGCCGGGGGGCTGCCGACAATGCCATCCGGACCAGGGAAAACTGCCCGGGGCGGTTCCAGAGGGGACATGCCAGCGTCTTGTGGGGGTGGAGCGTCTGCGCCGCCCAGTCCTTCCCACTCCTTGGCCGCGAGCCAGCAGTGGCTGCGGTGATAGACCGCCTCCACACTGAACAGCACGCTGTCGGCCGAGAGCTCGACATAGCCATTGCCGCCAGAGACTTCGTACCACATCTTGCGAACCTGGCGAGCATCCTCGACCCAAGGGAGGTTACCCATGGGCGGCTCACAAAGGAAGTACTCGACGCCCTCGTTGAACCTGAGGTTGGGCGCGTCAACCACGAGCATGGGCAGCGACTGAATAACGACGTAGAGGAAGAGCCAGTAGCCAATGCGCTGATCAGCGAGATCTGCCGCTGTCTTTCCCTTTGCCTCGTGCTGCTCAAAGTCCTTGAACTCCATGAGGAAGGGAATGTTGACGCTGTTGGCATCCCAGTTGTACGCCTTCTGAATGACCAGCGTCAACTCGTGTTCCTTGATTTTTCTGTCAAACCTGGCCTGCTCCTTGGCTGACAGGTTGTCGTACGTCGCAAGAATCGACGTCATCGTGGGCAACTTCGGAACATCGAATGGAATCGGCGGCAGTACGGGAGGCGTAGAGTTGTCGAATTCGGTGAGCATCTTGCGCAGGTTGACAATCGAGAGGGGGTCCGTGGACTTGGCAGAATCTTCATCGGCGTTTCCATCCATTACTCTAGTGGTGATGTTTTCGCGGTCAACCAAAAGGTCGTACATCGCGGTCATGTCAGAGTAGAGCGCCTTCAACACCAAACGGTTGAGACCGCTCTCAGAGAACGGGTTCTTCTTGCTGCTAGCCTTAGGGGGCCAGGCGCCAAAGTTGGTCTTGTAGTAACCCATGACGAACTGCTTCATCTTGTTGAAGTACTTCTCCCACACTTTGAAGCGGACAGCCTTGAGCCCTGGGTCTGATGTAGAGCTGGCAATACCTGCAAACAATGAGGGGAACTCGAATCGCTCCAGTCTAATGTTGACGTTGTGTTGGCGGTTAACGAGATCCAGATGGGCGCGCTCCAATCGCTGTCTGGTGTACAGTGATACCTGCTCGAACAGAGGAGAGTTCAAGTCGAGAATGGCAGTGTACTTGCCGACGGCGTGCGCAAAAGCCTCGTTGTACAAGTCCATTGACTTCATACTCTCACCGAGAATCAGCGACTCGAGCGTCTTTTCGCGGCTATGACGAACATCTGCAAGCGATAATTGCTCCATAAAGAAGCCGAAGCTGAGGTCAACGGCCTCGCCGAAAGACTGCCCATCCGCGTTGGTGAAGCCATACTCCTTCAATAACTTGGAGATCTGCAGGAATGCAGCAAATGTGGTGGGGTGGGCCTTGGTGGCCACCAGAGGCTGGCCGGTCAAGAACGCAAAGAGGTTGCGAATGGCGATTGCGCGGTCGACCTCGGCACGGAGCTGGGGTCCCGGCGCGGCGAGACCGTTTCCGGGTTGCGTGTATTGTGGGGGCGTCGCCGGCAGATACAACTTCAGTTCGCCCTCGCCAGGGCTGTCTGGGTCCTCCGCAGGAGGCGAGCCGGACCCGGAAATGGTCGCCCTGACAAGCGCATCGTCGACGGACAGACTGCCCCCGAAACTCCTTCCACGGCTCCTTCCTGATGGCGAAGACATTTCGGCTTGAATAAGCTCGTTGAAGATGATGGAGTTTATAATGGAGAAGCTCGGAACCTTGAACGAGGGTCCGGCATTGCTGCTTCTAGGCTGAAGGTAAACGTAGACATTGCCGTTTTCATTCCACAACTCCGGCACCTGCGAGTGAATTAGTCTCTCCGGCCGATGTGGTGCAGCACGCGACAGAAAACCTACCTTTTCAGCATTCAGCAAAAATGACGTGTTGTACTCGCCAGGCGTATCAGGCGACAGGACCCACGCCTGTGAGTTCTTCACAGCCGCGGAAACGTCGTGCGAATTCGACCTTGATCTTCCACCACCTGGCAGCCAAGATCTGCGCAAGCGTCCACGTCTCTCGTCGCGGGTTGGACTGTGGCTCTCGTTCGACCCGGTGGTGTCTGTTCTGGCCCCGGGTGGGTGTGCAGAGGTGCTCCTGCCCCGTGCATCTGGTGAAGGGGCGCGAACGCCCAGCATGGGGAACCCGGATTTTCTATTCTCGAGGAAGGAGCTGCTTCGCTTCCTAGGCTCGGGGGCATTTTCTTTCTTGAGTTTCGCAGGTGACGTCGCCTCCGGGTGGGAGACAGCTCTGGGTGAAGGAGCATCGTTGGTGTGTGATACTGCGGGAGGGGTAGGCAAGTTCTTCTCCTTGCGCAGCTTGGCGGGAATTGGCGGAGGCGCCTCGGAAGGCGGCAATGGGGCAGCCATCATACTCGGTGTTGTAGGTGTTGGAGGTGTTGGAGGTTGAGGAGGAGAGACCAGAGGCTGATCGGCAGCGGGGGATGATATTATTGAAGAGTCTAGAGGTGCGGGGGCGATTTTTCTAGGAATAGGAGGCGGTGCATCAGAGGGAGCAGCCGGATGAGGTGGGTCGTGGGATTCAGATGCCGCAGGAGCAATTCCGAGACCCAGGCCGGAGCTCGTCACAGGTCTCACGGTGGGATGCTCAGCTGTGTGGTAGGAGGGCGCGCTGTCGGAAGGAGACGATGCGGGAGGAGTGTCGTCGGGCAGCGGCTTGCGGTGAATTGGCACTTGGTGTTGTTGCTGCAGCTGAGGCTGGGCAGGCGGTGATTGAGTCTGAGGCTGATCTGTGGGTTGGATGATGAGCGAGGGGAACAGAGCAGACAGACGGTTGCCCCAAGATCGGGACTTTCTGTTGTTGGGAGGTCGAGTGGGAGCGAGCACTGGCTCGGAGGTCTTCTCCTTCTCTTCAAGCGTCACATTCAGGGTTCCGGCATTGATTTTCGCAGCTGTTGTTGGCGAGTTGACGGTAGTATCAGTCTGTGATCGTTTCGGGGATGCGGGACGCTGCGGACGGGAGGACGTGTGACCGTTGGCGTTGGTAATGGCGGCGTCTCCGTGGGTAGCTTGATCGTATACGGGCTCGGATACGCTGTGGTGTCTTTCGCGGCGTGATTTGGGCGAGACGGGGGTTGTGAGGTTGACTTGTGAAGAGGAGAAGGAAAAGTGGCTTAAAGAAGACTTAAGAGAGGCGCGAGA